TCTATTCTATTCTTATTCCATTCTGTAATTCTATTCTATTCTTCTTCCATTCTATTCCATTCTGTAATTCTATTCTATTTTATTCTATTGTATTCCATTCCATTCCATTCTTATTCCATTCTATTCTTATTCCATTCTGTAATTCTATTCTGTTCTGTTCCATTCTATTGTCTGTTCTGTTCTATTCTGTTCCATTCCATTCCATATTTTCTATTCTATTCTATTCTATTCTATTCTATTCTATTCTATTCTATTCTATTCTATTCTAATCCAATCCAATCCAATCCAATCCACACAGACATCAGTTTACAAGGGCCGGCCGGTGGTGGCTTCGCGTACCGGGTCGATGCTGGGCAGGTCGTTGAAGGAGAGGTCAATCCAGTAGATGTCCAGGGGATACTCCAGCAGCTTCTCCATGATGTCAGGGAAGTCCGTCAGGTCGCTGAGGGTGTTGTTGTTCAGCCGCACGGCCTGGGTCAGCAGGCGGCCCCCCTCCGAGCACAGGATGGCTCTGAGGCCGGGACGAGGCTCCTCCGTCAGCAGGTCTGGGGGGGGGGAAGCAAAGAGGGCAGAGGGAGGCGTCTGCTGTGCCAGGAGCCACCGGGCACCGTCCGGCAGCTGATGCCGCCTGCACAGGACCCACAGCTCTGGAGCATGTGCAGAGTGCACTCCCCACTGCTGGGCTAGAAGCCTACGGAGATTCTTTATCATCCAGGGTCACGGTTTCCCAAAGGTGGCCTTTCTTGGGTTTTTTCCCCTTGAAAACATTCTGCTTCTCATCCAGAAACTTCAGTTCAGAAGTTCAGAGCAGAAGCTTATTATTAAATTATTAACATCTTATTCTCTTATTTCTGTCTTATCCCTTGTGATATTCCAGCTCAGAAAAAGGACCTGGAAAATTCTCCTATCGCAAGTCTAACTAACCCTCGCTCTCCACATAGACGGGGGGGAGTCCCAGGGATTCAGGGGTGTCATTCTCAGGAAGGGGGTGTGTGCCAAATAAAAGATGGGTTGTGATCCGGGAGTACCATCCCTGCAGCTGTGCAGAAGGATAGTCTGGGGCAGGGGTAGGCAACCTCGGCTCTTTTATGACTCATGGACTTCAACTCCCAGAATTCCTGAGTCAGCACAGCTGAAGGCAGGACAAGAAGCAACGGATGGAAACTGACCAAGGGGAGAAGCAACCTGGAACTAAGAAGAAACTTCCTGACAGTCAGAACAATTAACCAGTGGAACAACCTGCCTCCAGAAGCGGCGAATGCTCCAACACTGGAAGTTTTTAAGAAGAGATTGGACAGTCATTTGTCTGAAATGGTATAAGGTTTCCTGCCTGAGCAGGGGGTTGGACTAGATGACCTCCAAGGTCCCTTCCAACTCTGTTATTCTATTCTATTCTATTCTATTCTATTCTATTCTATTCCATTCTAAAGGAGAAATTTCCTGACAGTAAAAACAATTAATCAGTGGAACAGCTTGCCACCAGAAATTGTGGGTGCCCCTACACTGGAGGTTTTTAAGAAGAGACTGGACAACCTTTTATTTGAAATGGTATAGGGTTTCCTGCCTGAGCAGGGGGTTGGACTAGAAGACCTCGAAGGTTCCTTCCAACATAATAATAATAATAATAATAATAATAATAATAATAATAATAATAATAATTATTATTATTATTATTATTATTATTATTATTATTATTATTATTATTATTATTGTAGCAGTAGTAGTAGTAGTAGTAGTAGTAGTAGTAGTAGTAGTAGTATAGAGCAGGTCAAAAAAAGCAACCATCCTTAAAAAGTTGCTTGATGATGAGATGGGAACCACATAAATTTAATAAATAAGCAAAAATATAAAGTTAAAGAAACACGTGGCAGACGAGAGATTGGATTAGCAAGGCAGCCAGCTCAGGATCTCCCTGGACTTTCTTTATTTCGATGGGGTTGACTTCAACCACTTGGCTGTCACTCAATGTCAAGGGAGATTCTCCATCATTCTCGGTCATGGCTGTCCCAAACCTGCTTTTTTTCTCTTCCCCCCCCCCCGAAAAGGCAACTGGACTTTCTTGGTTTTTTTCTTTGAAAATGTTTGATTTCTCCTCCAAGACGTTTCTTCAGTTCTGGAGTTTTTGGATGAGAAGCAAAATGTTTCCAAAGGGGAAAAACAACAACAAGAAAGTTGCCTTTTGCAAAAAAAAAAACATCCTTGGGTTGATTATCCCTTGTTTAGAGAGAGACACAGAAGGATCTTCTCATTTGGCAAAATAGCAATGGATTTTGTTTTTAATTGTATTGATTTATTTACATGTACACATAACATATAAATATTTATATAAATATAATATAAAATATAAATAACCTTTATTATTTCTACAATTAGCTCAAGGCAGCAAACATCTCAAAACATATGTTCGTCCTCCTCTTTTCCCCATAACCATCACCCTGAGAGGGAGGGATCGGCCCAAAGTCACCCAGCCAGCTTTCATGCCCAAGGCGGGACTAGAACTCACCGTCTCCTGGTGATTGGCCCAAAGTCACCCTGTTCTGTTTCATGCCTAAGGCGGGACTAGAACTCACCATCTCCTGGTGATAAACCCAAAGTCACCCAGCTGGCTTTCAGGCCTAAGGCGGGACCAGAACTCACAGCCTCCTGGTGATTGGACCAAAGTCACCCAGCTGGCTTTCATGCCTAAGGCGGGACTAGAACTCCCCATCTCTTCGTGATTGGCCTAGTCACCCAGCTATCTTTCATGGCTCAGGCGGGACTAGAACCCACTGTCTCCTGGTGATTGGCCCAAAGTCACCCAGCTGTCTTTCATGGCTGAGGCGGGACTAGAACTCACCATCTTCTGGTGATTGGTCCAAGGTCACCAGTCGGCTAAGGCGGGACTAGAACTCCCCGTCTCCTGGTGATTGGTCCAAGGTCACCCAGCTACCTTGAATGGCTAAGGCAGGACTAGAATTCTCTGTCTCCTGGTGATTGGCCTAGTCACCCAGCTATCTTTATTGGCTAAGGCGGGACTAGAACTCCCTGTCTCCTGTTGATTGGCCCAAAGTCACCCAGGTGGCTTTCATGCCTAAGGCGGGACTAGAACTCCCCATCTCCTGGTGATTGGTCCAAGGTCACCCAGCTGTCTTTCATGGCTGAGGCAGGACTAGAACTCACCGTCTCCTGGTGATTGGCCCAAAGTCATACAGCTGGCGAAGGTGGGACTCACCGTCTTCTGGTTTCTAGCCTGCTGCGTGAACCGCTAGACCAGGGGTTCTGCAACCTTGACCACTTTAAGACTTGTGGACTTCAGCTCCCAGAATTCCTCAGCCAGCTATGCTGGCTGAGGAATTCTGGGAGCTGAAGTCCACAAGTCTTAAAGTGGTCAAGGTTGCAGACCGCTGCGCTAGACCAAACTGGCTGTAACAACTCCGAGTTTGAGCCCCAACAACAACACATGGACCTTCTCTTAAAAGCGTCTCCAGTCTGCAACATCATTGGCAGCTTCTAATATCAAAGATCAAAAGGCAGAAATAAAAACAGGCCCCAGGCCGGGGGACTCGTTTGTACCTTGCATGAAGCTGATGCCCCGGAAGGAGAAGTCCAGCGGTGGCGCCTGGAGGGAGGCCTTGGTGTAATTCCAGTGCACGCAGGTCTTTCCAGCTGTGCTGGCAAAACACAACGTCACACGCCCAGAGAGTCAAACACGGCTGAGGCAGGCAGGCTGTAGGGCTCACTTCTCCAGGACCCCGTCCACACATTCCACTTTGGGGAAGGGGATTCCGGCCGGAGGGAGGGAAGGAGGGAGGGAGGGGGTGACCCAGAGAATGGCCAAGCTCCAGGGAAGAGATGGGGCTATTGAAAGCGAAAATGGGCATTGCATCAAACTTGCTGTGGCCATCTTGACTTTTCTAACCGCCTGCTGTGGACAGCCCCGTTCCAGCAGGACTCTATAAACCATAACTGACAAATCACCATGGAAGCTCAAATCGAGCCACAGTAGATCGGTGTGTGGCACGGCAACGGTCATCCTATGAAGCCATAGCCTGCTGCTTCGTGTGGGGTGGACATGACCCGTGTCTTGTGCAAAGGATATCTGCAGCCGACAGCCAGGAGCAGGTGTTGAACAGATGTGCCTGACGGATGGCACCAATTTAGGGAAGTGATAAACCACCAAAAGGGTTGGAGCAGATCCCGGGGCATGCCTCAAGAGGTCTGGCCTGGTTGAGGAGGAGGAGGAGGAGGAGGAGGAGGAGGAGGAGGAGGAGGACTGCAGGGTCCTGGGTGCTCTCTGAGCT